CGATTTAATCGCAAATTTAATTAATTGATTCATTTACATGGTACTAACTTATATAACTGCTGCTCTTAGGTAATTGATTATAGTGATTAACCAATTAAATTGTCCAGCTCTACTACGCAAAATTATACGATCTCAGATTATACATTATACACAAAACAATCATTACATAGTCTCAATATGAAGGACATAAACCACAAAACCCCCATATCCTAAAGTAACTCTTATATTTACATACACACAATAACATGAGTTTTTTAAGACATTTAACTCTTTAATTAAATTATTCTGAAACTATCTTATCAAGAAGAAAACAATGGAAACTGTAGGGCTTGAATATTTTCAAGAAACAATTCAACATTAAACATACTCTAACAATATTCAAGAAGTATAATTCATATGTGGTATGACACAAATTATCCCCTATAGTCTCAATGTTATGGAGAAAATATAACAGAAAGACTACACTTGCACATACAACCTACAAAGGAGAATTAAACATTAAAAAAATTAATACAATCAATGGTTGGGAAGATTAGAAATAAAAAATAGCAAGTATGTGATCAGTATATGGACATATAACTGACAATATTATTAAACAACACTGGTATTGAAGAATAGTATAATATACAAAGAGAATAAAGACAGAAAAAAAAACATTTTAACCTAGGTTATACATAAATCAGACAAAATTAAAAACAAATTGATGCCACCTATGTGTCGTACTGCGTGCTTCTAGGTGCTGAAGTCGTTGGATCTCTTGTTGTTTTCGCTGTTGGTTAGTGTTATGTTTTATAAGATTAGTTTTCTCTACCAGCCCTTTACGTCCTGTTAGTGAGTTAGAAATAAAGGAAACCAGTCACAAACATTATTAGTACAACCAAAATTAATATCACCTGAAGCTAAAGAAAACTTAACAGTTTATAATACTTATGTTTCTTCAGAGTTAGTAATACTATATGCACAAAGAAAGAGAAATTTTTAAGCTGTATGCATCAGGAATAAAAAAAGTTTTTTCCTTCAAAAACATTTTAAAAACTAAACTCCTATAAAATGAAACCTAAACAGTAAACAAGCAAAAACATACACAATCCACATTCATAAAGTGTTATATTCATCGTATCTCTCCTGATTTAGTCAACAAATGCTCTTTTTGAGAGAGGTGGTAAAATAAATGTAAAAAATTTAATTTTATAACTTTTCTTATTTTAAATTTACATGACAATTACTTTTGAAATACAATTATAAAGGAAACTAAATGTTCTAATATCACTTCAGTGAAAAACATTCATATTTTGTAAAATATAAGATTTCACCCAAAATATAGCAATATATTATGGAGAATTCCAAGTCTGTTATTCTTTATAATAATTACTAACTAAGATTATAAACAGTAATCCTCAAAGTTTTCTTTTCCTAGGTCATAAAATCATTTAACAAAAGGTCAATGAAACAAGTAAAAAGGATACGTTTTAACTGGTTCATAACAGTGAAACAATTTTTACATACATAGCAATAAAAATAGTTTATATATATAACAAGGCATAACATCATTGTAACTTTAAATGATTTTTGAATTTTAATGATTTATGACAGAACTCACAATTGAAAGAAACTGTACACAGTTTAACCGTGCTGAAACAGCCAGAGAACAAAACGAATCTAAATAGTTATGGGCATTAAATATATATAGTACTAAAGTTTCTAAATTAACCCTCTCCCCACAATAGCTGCATCTACATGAACAGGTTTTAGAGTACAATAACACACCAATAATTCAAACATTAACAAGTGAAACCTATCACCTTTTAGAACAATATTGATTTTTATAAGGTTAAAAATTCGTATCTTTTATTTTTCTAATTGTGTAATATATTATATATGTGGTTTACCATAGCAAGAAACAATTAAGACCAATACACATCAACTGGAAAATAATGTAAAATGATGCAACCCCAGCAGCCAATAAAGAAACGAGCATCTTAACTATGTTCAAAATAATCAAACAGAACAAATAAAAACTTGATATTTAATTTATTTATTTTCATAACAAATCACATTATTTTTATTTTTTTATCACTATATGATTTATCCACTGTAACACAATAATTTTAACTTCCAATAATTATATGGCTAAAACCTCATACTTCCCTCCATTAGAAGTACAATTACCAACATCAAATACGTGTTTTCATGGCTTACTTTAAAAACATTCATTTAATGCACCAGTGTTCTTGAGAATTAACTTGCTTCTATACGAGAACTTGTACAGTGATGAAGCATATGGAAGTGTATATGCATGACAAAGTCTTAATATGTAATTATCAGTAACTTGTGTAATTAAATAATACAATATATCCAGCTTTTCTCACACAATTTGTACTTCATATCTAAGAAAAATATACCAATACTAATTCTTTCATTAATTTTTAAGTCCATAAACTACAAATGTGTGGAAAATGTTTTCCTAAGGAAAAAAACATACTTGTATACAAGTTAAAAACAGCCTTCAAGCAACTTTTTTTTTTTGTAATTTCTTGTATACCTTGCATGGAGAAATAAATAATTCTAGTTTAAATCACCTTACTCAGAACTTTTCTGCACCATTTAACCCTCTCCAGATGGGTCAAAGGCCATGTCATTGCGTTTGTTGACTCGTATTCAAAATTTTATTGAACTACTATTTTATAAATTTATATCAATATGTTTGGTATCAAACTGTAGATTATATTTCAAATTTTAATATTATACATTATTTAATTTCTTTATTTAATAGTAAATATTAAAAACAGAGTTAAACATTGATTTTTGTGTGTCACGTGGTATGTCGAATGCTGAACTGTTTCAAATTATGATGTTTGCTATGTCAAAATACTTCGTCTGTAGTTTCATACAAATTAGGAACACAAATTATCGATATTCACTAGCTAGAATATAAAATAAGAATCTCCTATCTTTTCTCTGTGCTGATACATCACTCATGTAATGAATCAAACACAGTGGCCCCGCTCACCTATTTTGATTCAATATATGACATGTGAATAACTAATCGAAAGCTCAGAATGTCCTCCTAGCGGCTTTTTCAGCCATTTTCATGTGTTAGGACACCATCTCTTTCTTTTTAACCAAGATTTCAAGAAGGTAGGTTGTGTCTTTAGTCTGCTCGAAATTTCATATTTTTTCAGACCCAAATACAGCTTAGTTACTAAGCTTGATAAATTAGTGGAATTCTATGGTACTGATATAGTAATTTATGATTTTTTTAGTTATTGAACTGTACATATAAAACCTAAGAAAAAAGATTTCATCTCATATCCTCCACGTGCAAAATTTTTAAAGGCTTAGCAACCTACATCAACTTGAAACTGAGTACAAAGTTTGTAACTAGAAGAGATAATTGTTTGCTTTGCTTCTTTATTTACTGTTCTATGTTTTAATAAAAATAAGTTTAAGAACTTATTTCTACATAGTAATAATCTATATACATATATAATGTATAATAATGGAAATTTAACTGTATTTTATAAAATACTAGTCTACTAAAACACAGCCAAGACAGGTCACTTTGTAGAGACTAAAGGTCAGTTTCATATTATTGGAAATGGTAACATGAGAGCACATGTGCCACATCGACCGAACCTGTACAGAGATTCAATAGTGAAAATAACAGATAAAATATAAAAACTTTTTCTTAAGAAACATTTGAAAACTATATCTGGATATTATAAAGATTTCGCATGTCAAATTTGAAAATTTTCTGATGCATAAAAGTATTCTTAATCTTAAAATGAAAATTACTTTGCATGTTGGATAGGGAACATGCAAAAAGATAAAAAAGGCATGAGAAAAACATTGCTTAACAAACCTTAAGACTTAATAAAAAAAAAATGATATTTTGCATAAGAAAGCATTGTAATATTTACTGATAATCTGCCAAATTTCATTAACATACGCTTACTAATTTAAAAGTTATGGCATGTACAAAATGGTTATGAGGTCAGTCCCAGGGATCGAGCCCTTGCTGAAAGAGTTAAACACTAAAGTGAAGGAAGTGTGTATCAATGGTATATTTATATGTGAACTTTCAGTTTTTTCTTCAAAGACTTCTGAGCTTATGTTTGAAATTCCTTCTCATTTTACTACAGCCAAAAGTCTTTTGATAGCAACACTTTTACACACCTTTGGTGATTGTTTTTATCATGGAACTTTACTTGAACTATAGAAATATTTTTATAGCTAAACATGTAACTTCAGCAAAGATGCATAATAACCCAAAACTGGAAAATTTTTTTTAAAGATTATGCATCTGAAATTGCAGTTATTACACACCATACTGCACATTTTGCTACTTTTGGCAAAACTTAATAAGTTAATATACTAGATAAGTGACTGTAGCCTCTGCATTACACAAAACTAAAGTGAATAACATTACATAACCTAAATCTCACCACTATGAGATTAAAACTCTCAGTAGTCTGCTCAAACTAGAATTGAAAAAAAGTTTTATTAACCTTTCATGTCAAGAAAGAGTAACCAACTCATCTGTTAAAGAAATTACCATTTTCCTCTTCTAAGAAAAACTTACAGAGTACCAATACTCAAGATGAATTTGGAGAGATTTCATTTAGACATCTACAATAAAACATGAACTTTACACTATAAACAAAAACTAATTTAGACTTGTTCAGCAGGTTCAGTGTTTGCATAAACCTGTGGTAAAGTTGTTGCATGACGGAATAAACATGCTTGAGACATTCAAAAAGATTTTACTTCACCTGAACCTAAACATATTAGAAGCTTTAAACATATCCTAAAATATTCTTGTAAGCTATATTTTTAATCTTTACTTTTATATTTTTTCTTTGCTAGAGAAAGCTCATCATTACAGGAGGTCTAGCTGTCTAATCAAAATATCAATGGATTATAATGAGAAGGTACCAGGGGAGGCACATCAGGCTCAATACAAAATACCTTCTAGAGTAAATGGGTGGAATAGTGAACAAGCTATTCATCTTACCACTCATCTAAAACAATCAGCTTCAACACCTTAAGCAACCTTCAGCTGAGAGCAGTAATAATAATCAAGCATTGATATCTACCTTATACAACAGGTTGAGAGTAACACACAAGAAAAACATATTCAGAGCAAAGTTCCACTGGCAGTAGAACTAGACAATATAATTGACTACCTATAAGCAACAATTACATTGACTAGTATCATGTAAAATAATCAAACAACTGAAATTCAGGTTTCCAATTATTATTATTTTTGATTATTCCAACTATCTAAGTTACCTAAATATGTATTTGTTAATCTATTTTCTTCACCAGAAAGTGAATTTCAGTGAAGAAAAAGACAAAGGTTAAATTGATTCTTTGGTTTGATACTCCTGCTGTAACAGACTAGTTTTGCCAATTTTATGGCTTGTCAATGTTACTTAGAATAATGAAGCAAATAAATAAAGTATGTCACATACTGCCATTATGTTTGTTATTAAGCACAAATACATAATGGATTATCTGCTTATTGAGGGTATCAAAAATCAATTTTAACATTATAAGTTGTTGTATTTTATTTCAGTTTGTTCATCTTTGGCCCAGTTTAAATATGAAAGGATACAGCAAGGATTAGACTATCATCTCATAGTAGAATAAATATACATGTTAAATATTTCAATAGTTTTTGTAAACATTTTGTTTCACTTGTGAATACTAAAAGGATCTCTGTCTTAAATTATACTCATTTGAAAGCAACAGAAATTGTCTTCAAAGAGAAGACGTCAGACAACTTGAGATAAGGTAAGTTTATACAGTTTAAAGATGGGTTAAATGTTTAACAAAAAAAATCTTTCTCACAAGTTTAACCCTGTAACAAATGTATAACGTTTGGAAAAGGTTTTGTCATCATAAGGTACAAGCAGTTTACCTAGACACCAAAAAAAAGGATATATATATATATATATATATAGTATGAAATAAAGACATCGCATGACTGGAGACTGCTTAAGTTTCTGTAACAGTACCTAACTGTTGTTTGATTGTTTTTTTATAGGAGGATATATATATATATATATATATATAGTATGAAATAAAGACATCGCATGACTGGAGACTGCTTAAGTTTCTGTAACGGCACCTAACTGTTGTCTGATTGTTTTTTTATAGGAGGATATATATATATGTAGTATGAAATAAAGACGTCGCATGACTGGAGACTGATTAAGTTTCTGTAACGGCACCTAACTGTTGTCTGATTGTTTTTTTTAAAATTTATAGTGTTTTTACTTTTTAATAGATATGATTGTTTTTATACTTGTAATGTTATGTTTACCAAGTGAAATCATATTGTCATCAAATCAGATTAGTTAAGTTTACTGTTCAGAGTATTGTAGGCAACTGTAAGCTATTCTGATAACTCAAATCTTTATGGAATATTATTTTGATATTCATCCAATAAAATAATGTAAATAAATTGGCTAACTGGCTACTTAATTACCTCTAATTGCAATCATGATATGTTTTAAATAAACTCATTACATTTATCAGTGATAATAAAACTTGTTTTCATTATTTATCAATCACTTTTTTTATCAAACAAAATGTCGAACGCGTGGTCATCTCTACTTGACATTAGCAAATTATTTGTCACGTAGGTAATGTTCAGGCTATTTAGAAAAAAAATTGTCAAAATGCACAAATTACAAACTCCAAATGTGTATTATATGAAACAAAGAATAATTCAAAAAACTACTTTTTAAAAAATCAAAATTAGATACAAATAAAAAGATGAATATAACATGTTAGAAAAATGCAGTGGTTCAAAATGTTATGAAGTCAGCATGCCCCTCACTTTTTTTTTAATCAGTTAAACCTATGTATATGGGGTTGATCTATCGGAACGAGCCCATTACTGAAGAGTTAATACTTACTATAATTCGGAATTTACCTAGTGTATCGTCATGAAATTTGGTGAGCTTTTGGTAAACAAGTGTTGTAGAAAAAATCAAATTTTTCATAAAGTATTTCTACAAAATATTTGTTTAAAAATTTATTTTAATCAATCTAAGTATAAGACGGTTTAATGTTATGAATAAAAAAAATATTTTTTTCATCTTACAGTTTTAAATTTCATTTGGATAACCTCTAGTGCTTCCTAAATGAATATCAAAAGCCTTTTTTTTTCAGTAAAACTTTTACATTTTATCTAATCTAACACTATATAAGCTCAAGCCATTTGTCCGATCTTATAACCACCACAAAAAAATACAAAATAAATCTAAATTTCTCTTTTTTTTCCTTCTAGAATGACTGCAGATTGTAACAGACAAGTAATTATTTATCCTAAAATTTTCAATCCTCAATCCTTTTCACAACTGCTTAAATTAGATTTTATTGTATTATTGCTCTTTGAATTGTGTCTAACTACTAAACCTGTATAAAAAAGCTAAATCACCTGGTAAGTGCCTAGCTGAAGTATTACATAATTCATAAGCAGCTCATGTTCAAAACTCACTAACAGATTTTAGCTTTTTTCATTTATGTTTTCTTATATAACCTAATAAATTTCTAATTTTGATATTTCAGTTAATTTTATAACAATAAATTAAAATGTACTTAAAAAGAAAATTAGTACTTGTATGTTTGGCCTCTTTTTCTCTTAGCTCCAATGATGCTTAGCCCTAATTTTTTGTAACAATGAATGTACATAAAATAATTTTTATTTATTTCAAATATGCAATTTAGAACATAAAATAACACACACAAAGAACACAACGCCCTATAACTATTATAATTTATCTGGCTTTCTAACTACACTACAAGTGCATGAATATAACTCACTTACCTGGTCGATGTGAACTCAGGGGTAACAACAATGAATCTGTAGGTTGAATAATTCAAATACTATTATAACAATAATTTAACTAATTAGGAAATCAGTAAATTAAAACCTTCTCTTTTTAGTGGTTATAAATAATCCAAAAGCAAAATATACAAATAATTACTGACATTTTATGAAAGACAGGATCTGATAAGAGGAAATAGCAAATGGGTTTGTCTTTCTGGTTTATATCTGCATACACCAAGAACATTGGGGGCTGTAAAATTAGACTGTGTGTTAATAATATCTACACAATAAATGTGTAATTTATGTTAAATTCAGGAATTCTAGCCTAAAAAACCATCAAGTTTAACTATTAAATTTGTATAAAAAATCTAAATCATCCAGCATGTGCACAGCTCAAGTTACATAAATGAATTACATAATTCACAAGCACCATAAAAATACATAATAAATTACTTTCTAGAGTGAATGGCTGGAATAGTGAACAAGATTGATGATATTAATGGAGATATAGGAAGATTACAACAATGCTTATTTACACAAGATTAGTGAGGGGAGATGTTGCTGAGATGGTAAAAAAAAAATCAAAAATGGGCAATTTGGAGCAAACAAGTGTCATGTGATAGAGATAAGTGAAGTCTGAGAGCTTATTTAAATATTTAAATTTAAATTAAGAAATTAAAACTTATATATTATTAATATTGGATTTATTAACTACATTTTGATACAAAGTTCACTGATATACACTGATGATAATGTAGTTTAATTAAATTTTGAAAAAAGTTGTAAAAAGTGGTATGTTCACTTTGAGTCCCACCCGAGCACATAGGGTTAATGAGCCTGTTGACTGATTAATTATCAAATGCCATTAACACTCAGCTTTAATTGGTACATGACCAATTTGTATATGCCCTAATAGATGAAAATATGGGAATTAGGTTGAAATTAAGTAGATGTACATCTTTATAAAAAAACAAAAACAAAAACTCCAGTTAGCAATAGAACTTGAATCCATTAAAGTTGCAGAAAACTATTAACCATCTAGAAAATACAGGATTATCAGAAGTATTACTAAAACATTTACTCGCCCTGATAATAGCACAGAATAATTGAAAGGATTAGTTATACAACTAGTTACATAGAATGAAGGAATAAACCACAATGCAAGAGATGTTTCAAGAGTAACTTGAAAGGACACATTGCACAGAACTGCAAACAAAAGCCTGTAAGAAATAAAAACTCCTCCCAAAGAAAACCAGAATGTGGGAACTGTTATAGGTGTGGGAAACTTGGGTCATCAAAGCAGACTATGAGGAACCAATAGTTGTTAATAAGCCAAGGAGAAAGTACCTGAAGGATGTCTTCGAGCCCAACCAGATCAAAAGAACAATAGAAAGTTAACCATACACTGTAAAAACAGAAATTAGTGATATTATGAGAAAAATTCTGCTGAGAATACTCCATCCATCATGAATGAGATAAGAAGTTCATTATTTAAGAAAAAGTGTCCATGAGTATATAGGTTTATTGAAGAGAAGTCTTGTCGTACGTTGATGGTACTAGTTCTACAGCTGCAATAGTTTGGCTCAATTTCATAATTAAAAATGGGAAATTGCTTCCAGAGATGAATGAGAACAACAAATGAACATAAAGTTCCAGCAAGAGAAAAGTTAGAAATTAACTATTATTGTACGAAACTTCTCTATACTTCATAATGTGTGGGTAATTGATACTGAAGAAGAATGCACATTAGGAACTGACTTCATGCAGGGACATGGATGCAAGGATATATGCTAGCTTGAAATAACTTCACAATCTATGACCAGGAAATCCCTGAGCATTACATAAGTACTTCACAAGAGGTTGAACTTCCAGTGACAACAAGGACGTCAGTCGCTGTAACACCAATATCTGAAATACTCATATCAGGATATATTAGAAATAAGTTTACATCTAGAAACTTAGGAATAATAATAAAAAAAAAAAAAACACTTCAGTGTGTCCTTAGTGATTATTTGTTGGAAGAACTCTCATGGATCTCAAGAATAAGGACATAATCATTAGGGCCATGAACACAACAAACCATGAAATATGAGTCAAGTCTGGATGGATCACTGCAAGATGTGTAGCTGTACAGAGAGTACTTCCACACTACAGAACAACAGAAACATTCATCTTTGAGGCAGTGTAGGAATCTAACATCAAATCTTCACATAAGAACAGCTTACAACCTCATTTACACGAGCTGTATAACCAGAGTTGCAGAGGCCTTACAGTTTATCAATGAAATAAATTACTTCACAAGGTCATGGAGTATCAAGATACCTTTTCCAGTAAATCTCATGACTTAGGATGAACAAATAAAATGTTTCATAAGATTTACACTTTACATGCAGCTCAAATACATTAGTTAGATAGCTCCAACTTGCAAAACAGGCTAAGGCTTTCAAAGAGGCAGATGGCATGAAATAAAATGGAATAATAGAAGTGAGTAAAGTCTATTGGTATCACTTACTGTACTTTGTGAAGAAATGTGAATCCAATGGTTCTGTGTGGGCTACCAGAAAGTGAAGAAAGCCTTAAAGAAGGATGTCTACCCACTGCCAAGAATTGACTATACTTTAGATGCTCTGTTTGAATTAAAATGGTTTTCAACATTGCATCTTAAGAGTCAATAATGACAAGTGCAAGTTAATGAAGCAAGCAGAGAAGACGAACTTTATTGCAGGAAATTAATTGTGGCAATTTGTTGTGTTACCACTTGGATTATGTAATGCTCCTGCTACATTTCTATGATTAATGAAGCATACTATCTCTGAACTATCCTGAAATACCATATTCATCTATTTGGATGGCAATCAAACATGGGAAGACCTTTGATAATGTTTAAAATGGGCTAAATAAAGTTCTGGATTGGTTGAGGAAAGGGAACTTTAAGCTGAATCCAAAGAAGTATGTATGAAAATGTTCCATCAACAAGTCAGTTTCCTGGAACACATTGTCAGCAAAGAAAGGGGGTGTCTGCAAACCCAGCTAAGACTGAATTGGCCAATACCAACAAATTTGTGTGAGGTATTATAAAAAGTATTTCTTGGGCTTTGCTCTTACTATTTTTATAAGATTATTCTTTGAAATATCTTATCCTCTATATAAATTACTTCAAAAACTAAGTAAGTTTTGTTTGACTGCTGATAGTGAACAAGTAGATGACAAACAAAACAAAGAATTAACCACTACTCCTATGTATGTATACCCAACTCTTGAAGATCCTTTCTTTTCATGGTAGATTTCAAGTGGTAAGGAAAGACATAATTGAGCTCAAAAAAACATATTTTTTTAGACCCAAATACAGCTTAGTTACTAAGCCTGATAAATTATAGTGGAATTCTTTGGTATTGATGTAGTAATTTATGATATTTTGTTATATCAAAATGCATATATAAAACCTAAAAAAATTTTTTTGTTTTACACTCTCCACATGCAAAATTTTATAAGGCTTAGCAAATTATGGCAAGCAGCAAATGAGTACAAAGTTTGTAACTGGAAGAGACAATTGTTTTCTATACTTCTTTATTTACTGTTTTATGTTTTAAGAAAAATAACTGAAATATAAGAATTATTTGTAAAAAATAATAATGTTTATACATATGTAATACATTATAACTAAAATGTGGCTTTATTTACAAAATACTGGACCACTACAACACAGCCAAGACAGGTCACTTTGTAAAGGTCGGTTATATATTATGGGATATGGTAACATGAGTGCACATGCATCTGTTACCACCTGAAGTGGAATGTTAAAAAAAAATCTTTTTTTTTTTTAAAAAACAATGATTATTTTATACACAATTCTAAAAACAAGACTGTTTCCAGTCTCAAAATTACAATAAAATACAAATAACTTACTGTATAGGATAAAAAGTAGTAAAAACCCTCTATTTCTCTACTTGTTGCAACGTATATCTTGCATCATCCTCGGGAATGTAATGTTTTACAAAAAATAACACTTATTTATAAAATTACCAGATCACCAATCTACATATTAAAGAATGTCACACCATCTGCTGACTACATTTCCATCAGGTCCATCATCCTTATTCAATAATTTAAACTTACTTTTTTTTACATTTAATTATCTCAATAGATTCCATGTATTCATACTAATTCAATTTCCAGGTTGTGCTAAAATAATTTTTTTTTCCCATTGAATTGTGTGTTTAGTTTCCATAATAATTTTTTGTTCTATTAAGGGTGAAATAGTAATATTATTGTTTTTAACATTTCTTTTGTGTTCAATCATTCTGAATTTTAACTTTCTTCTAGTTTGTCTTGTATAAACTTTTTTACATTCACGATATTTTATATATATACCAAATTTTTTCAATAAATCAATATTAAAACAATATGCACTATTTCATCATTTAATTTTTTCAAGTTTGTTTCAATGGTAAGCATGATAAAATATAAACTGAGCAATAAGACATGCCATATAACACAAACCACCATCTTTAGCATTTTTTTAAAATATTTTCTTTCGAACTAACTTTGCAACAAGGGGCTTGGTTGATTCGACCATATTTATGACCCAAAATTGACATTTATAGTTTAATTACTACAACTTCTAAGGTATTTTGTGTATCTTCATTAATTTTGCAAGCTTTCAATAAACATTACAAGTCTTTTTGTAGACAAAAAATCTGAATTTTTAAGGTATTTTTCTTTGTTGTTAAGCACAAAGCTACACAATGGGCTATCTATGCTGTACCCACCATAGATATCAAAACTTACTGTTTAGCATTAAAAGTCTTCAAACTTACCACAGAGCCACTAGAGGACCCACAAGAAAGGACAACTTCCAAAGCTAAGCAGGTGTTGGGAATGGTCATATCTTTAAATTCATAATTTCATCTTTTTTCCTTTTCACATACAGTTAATTTTTAATGTTTTATTTTCCTTTCTTGTCTTTTACAACTTATTATTCATCTCGACACAAGTCAACAGTGCCCTCAAGGCATATTACAATTTCTTTGGGAGACATAAGCAACCCTTCAGAAAAATCGTAAGCCTTGAGAACAGATGCGAAGTATGGTGTATATTTAAAAAATGTTTCAACCTTTTAATTATGCATTTTAAAACATAAATAATACATAATCAAATAAAATATAATTGTAAGACCTAAATACAGTTTAAACTGTATCTATAACTATAACATATTTAGGTAAGAAACAACCATAAATGCTATGGTCAATCAAGCAACCAACAATACTATAGTCAATTTCATGTGCTCTATGACAAAGACCTGGCACCAATTTCAAAATACCCATTGTTAGTTTACACTGTAAAATTAGCTCTTTCTAATGGTTATATACACATGTGTATGTAATGTCTACATGGAAGCGATAAAGGTGAAACATCTCTGCTGAAGGTGAGTGTGGCATCTGTCAGGGGTTCAAAAAATTTATGACTTGTTTTAACTGTATTCATTCAGAGTACTTTGAAAGGAACAAGTCAAAAGGTTATGTAAGCATATTAGTGGCTAGATGTACCTCTACTTTATTAATATTGTATTATTGAAGATACAGAGAGCCACAGTAGAGATTTTTCTTAGCTATTGTACACATGGCAATACATATGAAGTTTTAAGTAGTTTTTAAAGGTTTATTTTGTAATAAAGGACTAAAAAATTGGATAAAACTTCAAATAATAACACACATTATAATATTAAATTCATTCACATATATTGATATTCAAGGAGTTTAATTGAATATTGAATTTAACATAGTGCCTTGCACAGAAAAGCATTTAAAGGGTTAACTGAGATTTTATTTGCTAGAGGGACCTGTCATTATCTGATGATTATGACGTTATGATATTGAAATTAATGAATTTGATGAGTCTTAATATAGTGTTAGACAGTGAAGGTTAGTGAATCTGTGAATGAAATTCTGCACGTAAGTTTATAAGAAAGTATGTATAGTAGCTTCGAGTTACTGTTCAAGTGTTATATTTGAAATTTACCCTACAAGTGATCATAGCCTATAACAAGCATTAATCACCTATTTAAGAGATAAATAATTTGTTATCATTACCTGGACTGGATTTGGTATTACTTTCATCAAATAATCCATTATAACCCAATTATAGAGAGCACATTAAAAAACAGCATGTTACCAGCAATATGATAAAAGAAAGTTTTTTGTGTATTTAATCCTCTGATGCTTTTAGAACATTTTGTAAGTGCAGGAGATATATTTGATGCAAAAAGGAAAGTTATGCAGTAAAAAACATTAAAAAAACCTTTAAGATATATATATAATCAAAATGAACAATTATAGATAATGCAGAACAAACCTTTAGGGAATGGCCCAAATGGTTGAGCACGTTCTTTTGTCCTGAGAGATGATGATGCTGAACGCGCACCTAATAAAAAAAAATTATAAACCCTTGTTTTCACTTCAATTTACAAGATAAATTTATTTTAATGTTTTGAAAAGTTTCTAAGTACAAGTGTCAGAATTTAAAAGCCATGAAATACATTTTTGTTTACTACCCTTTCACACCATTAGAACCTCCTACAGTATATTCTTTTGCAATAAATTCAGTAAAAGCACTTGTATGCATATCTCAAAAGAAAAACTTGAACTATAAAGAATAGACATAGTAATCATTCAACTATAGTTGGTAAAATAAGCTGAAATGGTTTAAGAAACTTCAGTACTTTACTTCATTTTGCATATAATTTGTTTAATACAAGTTTGACAAAATGAATTTCCCAGTTTTTCTTAATATAAAGAAAGTATTTTTATCAGAAAACAAAAACAAACTTGCTCTAGAACTATAATATTTTACTTGGTTTGAGGTCACTGAATTACAGATATGTAAATTAATGAGTTTTTCAATAATGTGCAAAAATTCTCAATTATAGACACTTTCTTGCTCACATTTCTAAGATAAATTCTCAAAATCTTCTTTGAGGACTTTGATTAATAAAGACAATATGTGGTTGAAAATAACTTTTTACAAATAACAGCAGACTATACACGCACTGATTTAACACCTATCAAATCACTTCTGAAGCATGCTTTTTAAAATTTACAATGTTCAATAAGAGTTTGCTTTTATATGATAGAAACAAAAATGGTTTTCTTCTTTACAAACACATTTACACTGCACCTGTTGTTATCAAACAAAATTATCATTGGCATTATACTTGTAGCAGTATATAAACAAATTATATTAAATAACTTAAACTTTACTCATTCTGTGAAAAATGTCTTCACATATGGGTGGTTAGGTCATTAATTATGGAAAATGCTCCTTTTTTTTGACAAGGTTTGTAAACACGGGTCTTAAATAAATTATAAAATGACTTACCCAACCAGCCAGAAATCATACTTGTGGTCTGAGATGCAATTCCATTCAGTTCACTACTGACTGTAGATATTAGAGAGCCTGAAGTTGTCACTGTTCCAATTTCTTTATACTCATGGGATTCAGTACTTCTTTGTTGTCTGATTGGCTCTCCTAGTGCTTGTAGATTCTAAAGAAAAAACATTTAAAACATATTTCTAAAACTACACAAAAAACTTCCAGTGTGCTAAATTATGCTGTTCTTAGTTCATTATTATTTGAATGAAACAATAAACACTTAGTTGTTAACTTATTAGAAAAAAAAAAGTGTCCCATCAATTGCTATTCTGTGGCTACTAAAGCTATGTATATGTTATAATTAAAGGAAATTTTGATTAATCAATAAAAAGATACAGTGACACCTATTTTTCTTTCATTTCCTAAAATTAGTATCTTATTTCCCCACTTCAGCAATCAGAAATTCACTGAATGCTTCACATTCATTCATGAAAATCACCTGTTCAAGTTTCATGCCACTACCAGTTACTAACATAATATCAGGGTTTGCAGTTGGTACCAGTACTGGTTTACAGTATATCATATGTTGAGATTAATATCTGTTATCACATCCTATCTTAGGAGTTTTGACTGAATGCCTCCTCTAGTATTTCAGCTTCACTTTTCACAGAATTATAAATGTTTGATGTTGTAGTTTTGAGTTCATGCTTTTGATAAGTGAATCTCACTGAGAAAATTGGCAACAGCATGAAATATGGAAAACTGGTGACTCCCAAACTCTGGAAGAGAACGTGAATGTGCCTATATGACTGATTGCACATTAGGTAGGTGCATGCATGATTAACCCTTAGCATGCGGGCAGATCAAACTGTGCATCTCAGGATGTTTTAGCAAGTTATATTCAAAATTTAATTAGACTACTTAATTATCATGGTATATGAACAAACTTGACATCAAACCATAGATACTAAATCAAATTATAATATTATATAAGTTTTAAGTTCTTAAGTGTATAAGGAAATATTTTTTAAAAAACCTCAAATTCCCCTAGTGTAAGAATTTGGATATTTGTTCTTGAGCCGTGTTCTCTTCTGGATGTTTTTGTCCACCCCCTTAGAAAACTATGAAATGTAACGTAAAATATTCTCTATAATTTTGTCATTGTTATTCTGAAGCTATACTTTTATATTCTTCAATCTTATGGGACTAAACAGCAATCAATGAAAATTCAGAAACTACTTTCCACACCTACCTCTGACATGCTAATAGATTTTTCTGAGGTTGACTCCCATTAAATTTATAACCAATAGAAAGCCTAGATTTCAACTGATTCATTGTCATAGTTGTCATAACACGTGGGCTTATCGATAATTGACAATTTGGTTTGATGTGAAAAACAATTTTCTCACAAGCACACACATGATCAGAGATGCTCAAATACCAGTATCACCAGTACTATTGCAAACCCTGCATAATACGTTTCATGACAAATTCACACAGACTTTACAGATCAAAAACAGAACTTAAGCTCTAATGAAAATAAATGTTTATATACATTCATACAACTAAATATACATGTGTACCTTTAATATTTTCTTTTTACTAGCTTCTCTGGCTGGTTTTGTTGCTTCTAGTGCTGCTTTCCCTGCTTCTTTAGCTGCATCTTTCACATCTTTGGCCATTGTTTCAAGAATAGAAGATTGGCTAATTTGTGGAGTAAGTGATGGACCACCAAAGCTGCCAGCTCGACTGAGTACACTACTAATACTCATGGTACAACTGGGAACTGGGAAAGGAACACCACCAGAACCTTTATCAAAAGATATGTCAGTAGTGAACAAGGAGTTACCTGACTGTAATCTGTTTAAAGGGCTATCTGAATAATGGCTTGACATTTCCCAATCTGGAGTAGTGACAAAATCACTAGTGATGCTATCTGCTGGACTTCGGCCAAGAACTAATGGCTGAGGCAAGAGAACAGATCTAACTGTAGAAGACATTACAATGGGAGTACTAGTGTCTTGACAACTGAAAACATCTGCTTCATCTTCTACTTGTTCCTAAATAAACACAGTAACATAAAATTTTAAGTGTTTGCATATGTAAAAAAATATATACATTTGTTATTCTAAAATTGAAAACTAATTTCTGGACAGGTAAGCTGAAATACAAAATATATTTGAAGATTTGTGTGTGTGTGTGTGTAAACCTGATTGTAGTGATTAGAAAAAGTCACAATAACCAAAAATATACAAATTGTTTTATAGAATATTATGTCTAAAGGACATATGGCAAAAATAAAAATAACTAGATAGACATGTCAAATCAAATTAAAACAGAAAATCAACTATGAATTTGAGCTTAATAGGACAATTAATGAGAAATGAAAATATCATGATTACATTTTTAAACAAAGAAAATTACTTGAAGAACACTAGCAGAGTGAATCTGAACTCTTCAAAGACTAGACTGGAATGTATCATAAAAATAATGGCCCGAGTAATAATATCACCTCAGATAGATTATAAATCACACATCTATCATTTATGTGACTGTTAGATCAGTAACCCCAAAAAGCTTGAACTGTAACCAATACCCACAGAGCATTAAAATCAACTGTTCAGATTAACATCTACCACGAAGGTGATGTGCCCCATGGCTAAGTCTATAAAAAGTCAGCAATTGTCTTGCTGGTTCAGACTATAACCTTAGTACAAGTACTGCAAAATACACAAATAAGTTTAATTCTGAAGTACTGTCAGTTATAATTATATTCACAACTCATTTCATTCTCAAGCTAAATTAAAATTAACTCTTGCCACCAAATTAAAATCTATCATGGCCCAAACTATTTGATATAATGACCCCATAATTCCTAGATGGTGCTTTTAGTTGTTTATCTGCACCTTTGATAAACTGAGTCTATTGCCAATTGGACAGCTTCCTTTAAGAATGTACGTCTTCTTTGCTCTAGCTTCATTCATATATCTTCATCCATCTATGAATGTCATGTACCAACAAATTCACCATTTCACATGAAGCATTTAGGTAAGGTAACAGGGCAAGCATTTCCATATCTTCAGTAAATTTAGCTATCTCATCCTTCTTTTTTATTTTGTTCCTAAACTTTGTTTTAGAAGTTTTATTTGAGGTGAAGCAGCCACTATTATCTGGTAGTTGATTCCTCTGTTGGAAAGTTGCTTAATATTGCTAAAACTAATCCTTTTAAATGAGCAGACACATTAATAATGTGTTGTTCACTATAACATTCATTTACTTTGGAAGTTATTTCAAAATGAGTCTAACATGCCCACCATGAAACCTTTCTATCATAGTCTGCTGGTATATAAATTAGGATATGTTGCTGAACCAATCTGCTGAATTCTGTTGGTTTTTTGTTTAGATAATCACAAAAAGCTACTCAAAGGCCACCTCTAATAGTCATCCCTAATTTTGAAGTGATAGACTAGAGAAAAGGCCACTAGTAAACAGTATCTACCATCCACTCTCTGGCTACTCTTTTTCTGACAAGACACTGTGATTTGACCATCACCCTTATAACACACCTACAGCTGCAAAGTGCAGAGCACAATATATATTTTTTACTTGCAATAACAGAACACAAACACTACACCTACCCACAGATCCATAGTCTGGCAAGTTTACCATTAGCCCATTCTTGGCTCAATAAATTTGATGAGAAAGTCAAAAAAGCTGGAGCAGTCATAAAATGACACAGCAGTAATTGTAGCAGGTGTAGACCATATGGGTTCTATTCCATAGTAGCTCAGAAGAGAAATGATTTTATGTATGTATATATGTTTGTGTTATTTAAAACTTAACCTCGAGAATACTGATTTCTTTTAAGCATTAGCTGTTGATCAAGTTAAAGCAATACATATAATATCCATAGATGTTTTACTATATACACTATTTGTAGTTAGGGCTAGTGCTAAATAAAAAATTACACTGGCAGCAGGTGCTCCCAGTCAATTGGCTTTATTCTAGTCAGCAGTTCAAAATTAATGACAGTAACTTTGCCATAACAAAGACATAGTGAGCAAGTTTGGTAGCATTGGGAATCAAACCCGAGACCCTCAACTCACAAGTCTAGATACATACAACTTTTAAAATCATACTAACTTTTTCCACTTTTGTTTTATTACATGTTACATTTAAGTTGAATTGTTCTACTCTTGAATACAAAGTGGCTAGGACTGAAAGGAGGAGTTACCTGTTGAGCAACATGCAAAAAAAACTTTGGGGGGTATTTTTCACTAGAATTTAAAGGTTTTCTAGTTTTAAGCATCCTAGATAACATTATTTTTTGCTATTGAAACTGCTATGATTACATTTTAGCAGATAGCTTTTCTACATAACAAACACAAAAATATGCATTTGATTATGAAATCTATTAAAAATGCAAACTATGCAAAATAATGTCAGACACAATCATTATATAACATTTGGAATATAAGCATTTCACAAATATATCAGGATATTCCTTAAAGTACTGCATAATTCTGTTCTTGAATCCTTTACCATTCCATGAGTATTTTTGTATGTTTCATACCTCCTTGATAAGATTTACTGAGCACTTGTCTGTCCTATGCAACTTGTTTCAAGAAATCAATTAGATCTGGAATAATAATAAATGTCAAACAGTGTTCACTTAACAATGTACTTATTAATAATTTGAGATCTGCTACTTTATCTGCTCTGCTTATTCTCCTTCTGGTTGGCTCAGCAACCTGAAGTGTTTGAATATTTTAATTTAATTGTGCTGTTAATAATTTCAGAAATCATTCTTCTTTTGTAGAGCAATTATGAAGCACCTTTTTGCCATTCCTTCATATTTCAGACAGCAGTTTGTTTGAGTTTATGCACAAAGCTACACAATGGGTTATCTGTGCTCTGCCCGCCTTGGGTATCGAAACCAGGTTTATAGCGTTGTAAATCTGCAGACATACCACTGTGCCACACTCCATATAGCAGATTTATTTCAACTCTTTTCTTCCCACCTTTGTCCACACCATTTGTTTTTCACATCTTTATCAATTAGATATGTATCACTTCTGTAATTCAAGAAATAATAATGTATCCACACATCTTTACTTCAGAAAAATTACAAATAGTTGTATGCATAGACTAACCATCCGTGTGGCAAGAAAGAAAGCAAAAATAGTAGTAGAATGCACTCGATTCAAAAATTAGTCTGCTTCTTTTTTTCTTTAATTTTAGGGACATTGGCTGCTTCTTCACGATAAGGAGATGAAAAAATACAGCAGACTTGGTAGGGAAAGATTTTGATAAAAGTAATTATAATTTCTGTATCATATAAAAGTTGCCACGTAATTGTAATATTTCCTAACTTGGCTTTACACCCTTAATGGAGAAAGCTCAACTTATTCACATTTTGTATTTTTTATGTGGCGAGCTTTGTGCAATATATTTAACAAGTAGGTTAAAAGTTTAATACAGTTTATATAATTAATGCCTTATAATTATATGTCCAAAATGCAAGCATTTAAAAATTTCCATGCACTTTGAAATACTTCTCATAAAATCTAAGTCGTCTGCACATTTAAAAATTTCATAGCTCTGTACCAGTGTATATTATATACATATGTATATAAAGTTTTATGGAAGTGCAAATAACCACATGCACTATGTAAACTGTTTTGTTCTTCAAAATTTCAATGCAATTTTTAAAAAACTAAAATATATAAGCACCATGTGTCTGGAACATTAGAAACCATAAAGACAGCAGAATCACTCATATTAAGGTATTTGGATTTACTTCAAAGTGTACTATAATAGTTTCTTACAGTTGAACTGTTAGTAGTACAGGTATACTATTTTCATGTTTAAGGAATGGAAAATTTTGTTAAACCCATTACATATGGGAAGATGACCAGAGAAATGCACAAAGAACATTTCTCTGGAAAGAACACAGGTTAAATTTTCATTTTAAACAAATCACTCATGACATTATAACCTTACCTGCACAGTTAAAGCATTTTCTGGAATCAAAAGTAATAAGTCACATTTAGATGTCACATACATTATCCATAACCTTACCCATATGAAAAAAGTACTATGAAAGAAACATCATCACATTATATTTACATCTTACACAGAGTAACACAAAACACAGAGTATGTCATATCAAAACAATTATGAATATGCAAATCAGCAAGTCATGTGACAACCACAGTTGATGTAAACTAAAGATGGAAAATCAAGTATCAATACAACATGTTGACATTTTCTGACATTTCATAGATAGTGAGTGTGACACCACCAAAAATAAGCATTTTAAAGAAAGGTATACAACATGGTTCATGTGCAAAATATACATGTACTTAGGTCATAAAGATACATTCAGATCAGGGATTTAGAATGTCCGAGATGGAATACCCCTGTACTTAGTGAACAAAAAAGAAACATGATAAACTTGACACACATGGACCATCCAGAAAGAAAGCTGCAACAAGTTGTACACCAACCATGGTAAGTAAAGTAACATGTGAGAACTCACGAACACAAATTCAGTTGCAAAATCAACAGTACGCTACATATATAAGGATCTCTATCTGAAAATAAGACC